CGGCGCAGCGTGGTCTGTATGCGGGCAAGAAGGTGCTTTTCGGCGTCAAGTCGGCTGAGGACAAGAAATCCCCTATCAAGTGAGATGCGTGCCTTGGCTGTTCCCTTGCCGCCTGTCCCAGCTCTGCGCCTTTCCGAGTCTGCAGCAGCTCACTTTCAGCCCTCGCGCCTCACGCACGTTAGGTCGCTGAAGATTTGGAAGCCCAATGTTTTCGAAAAACGCTACTACAGTGATATCCTCAAGCGCTAGTAAGCCCGTGGTGTGCCTGGTTTTTCCTTGGCCGCTTGACTTTGCATCACGAGGAGCTTCCAATCTGATGAATGGCATCATCTTTTTTTTTTTTTTCTACCTGTAGCACCAAGGTGAAGGTGACGACCAAAGCCATTCGGTGCATTGACAAGGCTGGTGGCTTTGACAACTACATCCTCATGACTCAGGTGCGGTAGATAAAGCAGATGTGATACCTCCGAGGACTCATTATCACACCATGGCTCACCGTGCTCCTGTGCCTGGTATTGCACGGCAGCCCGAAAAACTGGACAGTGAACTGGGCATGAAGTTGCGTGTGGAGATGCTTCAGAAGATGGCGCGTCGCGCCGAGCATGACATGCGTCGCGAAGCCAACGCTGCGGCTCGTGCCGCCCGAGCTGCAGCCCAAGCCTAAACCTAAACCTGATTCGCCAAACGCTTCGAAGCATGGCGCTCATTCCGCTTTTCCCTGCCTTTTTTTTTTTTGTAAATCCTTTGGTTGGGTTGGCTTGATGCTTTCCCCCTTTCTTTCCTTCTTTTCCTAAAGGCAAGGCGCGCTGCGCGCGCTTTTGCTAAACCTGACTTTGGTCAAACTGACCGTGAATCACATTGTCGCAGCTCGTGCTTAGTTGATATCGTCTTTTCTCTGTCAGTTTGCTTTTCTTTCTGTGGGACTCTTCCGCATTTGCATGAATCTGGAGCCAAGGACAGTGAGCTTGTTTCCAAATCAAGCAAGAACAGATCGATTTTGGGCACAGCCCAGCCGAGGGGGAGGAGCGGGGGAGCAAGCCAAGCACACTGGGCAGTTGGTATTTTTGAAAAAGACGCGGGGAGAACATGGCACCTCAAAGTTCGTCGCGACCATTGGTGCGCGCTTGTTGCAGGCGCTGCAGATGGTCTTGCAGCACACGATCGGGATCTCCACATGGCCCAGCGTCTTCATCTTCATCGCCCGTGTCATAATCATCATAATCATCATAATCATCCTCGTCATCATCTTCTTCCTCTTCCTCGTCCTCTTCGCTTTGCTCTTCAATGGCATCCACTTCCCCTTCTTCCACCTTTTCCTCATTTTCGGCTCGGACGTCTGATGGAGCAGCAAGAGGAATGGCCTCACGCTCGTGAATGGCACCACTCCTCGTCGAGGCATGCTCATCAGCAGCCAGCGATGTACCAACTCCTGAACTCAACTCGGACCTGGATGGTACCGCATACGGACAAGAAAGGGGGAAAAGGTCGTGAGTCAGGGCGACGTTTGGAGTGTCGCGTTTGCCTCTGGACGTACCATGCTGGTTGTACAAGACAGGCAAGAAGCATCAAAGCCAAGATGATGAAGCCAGCCAGCCGCAACGCCCCCCAAAGCCACATCTCGAACGCTACATCACATTTGCGCGCATGAGCAATTCAAGCACCCTCTCCAAATACCCTTTGCCTCCCCCACCGTACATGTAGCACACCGCACCCAGATGCACACCCAGACGCACACCCAGACGCACACCCAGACGCACCCAGACGCACCCAGACGCACCATTCAAGACTCACTGTGAGTTGGATCTCGCCTGTATGTGTCAGCCAGTCGCGAAAGAGAGAGAGAGAGCTCCACTGCGGCGATGTGAGAGAAAGTGTGACTTGGATTACACTTCCACATGACACCTGCTGACAACTGCAAGAGAGCAGAGCAAATCGAACGCTGAGACCAGAGGAGACTGGTCTAGGTACGAGACAAACAAGCTAAAACTAAAGGTCATTCAGAGAAGAGTCCATCTACCTGCCAGACATCAGAGCAACCAGCTGACTGGTGTTGTGCCAAGAGAGAGAGAGAGAGGGGTCGAAACAGTTGTCGAGGCACGCTCTCCGCTCTCACCTGCCCCCCCTCCCCCTCCCCTTGCTGGGACCCTCGCGCGCGTGTGCGACTTGAGGCGCTGTTCGCCTGGGTTGGAGGCTGATTTGGACGTGATCATAGGGCCAAGGAGGATTGAGGAGGATCGAGGCGGATGTGGAGGGGTTTGGTTCAAGGACCAGTGCATTTTCCTCCCGGTTCACGGTCCCCAAAGAGCACGCTCTTGCGCGAACACCACTCGGAAGGAAGAAGCATGTGCCTCTTGAGCTAAGCCTCGAGCAAGAACCGTGCAATCCCTTCCACCCCCCGCGGACACGCCTGCAAACCTCTTGAAGAACTCGGGCCGGCGCTCTACTGGCACCTTGTCGGGCATCCCTTGATGCGCGTGAGTTCCGGTTTTCAACCTTGGTCATGCTGTGCTGGCGCACCGGATTAAATGTCTTGGTACGACGAGGACCGGCCTCGCCCGTCGAGGGCTGCTGGCAACTACTAGCACCCACCACGCAATGCACGCAAAGGCCACCAACCGGGTACCGCGCGCTACACCAAGCGTCAGTCCTCATGGATGGCACACCTCACCTTGACGTCCCGCCACCCCCGCCACCCATCGATGCGACGCATCACAACCACTCATCCCCCCACATCCGGGCAGCCGAAGTGGCCTCGCGCGTGACTGACGGTCCTGGCACGATCGACGTATCCTGGTCCCCTCACACCGGTGCTCGTCCAACTCAGGCTCCCTTCTTGGACAATGACATGAAACGGTCCGCCCTTCGCCCCGTCATGTCAACAACGCCACGCCTCCAACTTGACATGCACACCTCGTGCCTTCTCCTCTTGTTGATGCCTCACCGGCACTCAACTCGCCTCTAGGATCATCAACCTCGCCAAAACCCAGGCACCCCTGCTGGGAGGCAGCATGGGCTTGCTGCTTCTATCTTCCTCCGTCACCCTAGTCCTGCCCACGGGTATGGCCCCCTGCTCTTGCCTTCCCCGCACTCGGCTTCGAGAGAGTGCCTCTCTCATTCACACTCCTTCCCCTGTCTCACTCTGACGAACCACCCTCCCTTCTCTTGCAACTGCTTGCAGCCATCGGTCGCATGCTGGACCTGACCATGGACAACGACCCCAGCTTATCGTTGGAAACAGCAACCTATGGCCTCATTGGGCTCTTCACGGTCCAGGCTCTGGTCATGGGCGCGCGTAGTCTCATGCTCACCATGGCCGGTGAACGCATTTCGGCTCTCATCCGCAAACAAACCCTCGAATCCATCCTCCGTCAGGGCACCGGGTTCTTCGACGCTCAGGCCACGGGCGAGCTGGTCAACCGGCTCAGTGCCGACTGCACCCTTCTTCAAAAAGTCATTGCCAGCAGTCTTGCTCAGGGCATGCGTAGCCTCTTCCTGGGTGTTGGCAGTGCCGGCATGATGGCTTACCTTTCCCCCAAGCTCGTCATGTTCTCCATGGCCGTCCTGCCGCCCGTCGTGGGTGGCGCCATCTGGCTCAATCGGCGCATGAAGCGACAACAACGACTCGTCCAGGATGCGTTGGCCGAGGCCACCAGCCAAGCTGCCGACACTCTGGGCAACATCCGCCTCGTTCGTGATTTTGGCCAGGAACACGTCGAATACGATCGCTACGCCCGTGCCATTGATGTGACATACCACACTGCCCTTCAAGTGGGCCGCTCCAATGCCCTTTTGGAGGGCACCGTTTTCTGGGGCGTCAACATGAGTTTGGTGGCCGTGTTAGCCGTTGGCAGCACCATGATTGCGAGTCAAGAAATGACCGTGGGTGCCCTCACCAGCTTTCTCCTCTACAGCCTCTACTTTGGGATCCACACCAACGGCATGAGCAACGTCTATGCTGACCTGACTCGTGGTCTCGGGGCCTCGCAGCGCCTATTCGACCTCATTGACCTTCCCTCTGACCCCACCTCATCCATGCCCCACGATGGCGCTCGGCCACGCGTGCTGGCTGCCCCATACACGGGCGAGCCCAAGCCCCCGCCAACCCAGCCCATGCCCGTCGTTGAGCACGCCTCGAGCACCAAATCAGAGCCGGCCACTGCTAAAGGCGAGGAGGCCTCGAAGAAAAAGCGGTCGCCATCTCGCCACGCCGCTGACGTGGATGACTTTGATTATGATCCCCCTTTGCCCAACGCAACCACGCCCACCGGACCCCAAGCTACCCAAAAGGCCGTCAACATTTTGGCTCGAGATGATGAGGTTGATCAGCAGGGCATCGAAGCCGTCCTGCGACACGTCACCTTTGCCTATCCAGAGCGACCGGACGAAATTGTACTAGAGGACTATAGCCTTGAACTGCCCGCTGGAAAGTCTGTCGGTCTATGTGGCAGCAGCGGCTGTGGCAAGTCAACCGTGGCTCGTCTTCTGACCCGCTTGTACGACCCCAGTTCGGGACAGGTTTTTTTCGACGGCGTGGACCTTCGTACTCTTGATCCCGTGGAGATGCGCCACAACATTGGCATTGTCGCTCAGGATGCTCTCTTGTTTGACCGCACCGTGCGCGAGAACCTAATGTACGGTCGCCCTGATGCTACTGAGGCACAGCTGATCGAGGCTGCCAAGCAAGCCAACGCATACGAATTCATCTGCGAGCTTCCAGAAGGGTAAGCAAAATTCTCAACTGATGGTTGTTGGGCCCTTATCGGTGGGGGGAAGGTGAACCTCGAATTTGTGATGCAGCCACACTCATGTTACGGATGCGGGTATCCACGGGATGTTGCGACTCCTCTCAGGTTTGACACGGAGGTGGGCGAGCGGGGCGTCACGCTCTCGGGTGGGCAACGGGCCCGCCTTGCCATCGCTCGTGCGCTTTTGCGTCAGCCCCGCCTTCTGATTCTCGACGAAGCCTCGGCTGCGGTAAGTTGCTGGCTAGCGATCGACCCTGCCTTCTTGCGTCACCCCTCATTGCATGAATTGCGTTGGCGCATCGGCTTATTTCGATTTCAGTTGGATGCCGTGAGCGAGCAACAGGTGCATGCGGCCCTCAAGGCCGCGCTGACGCTCAACACTGGTCGCATGACAACCCTCTTGATTGCCCACCGGCTGGCTACGCTCAAGACTGCGGACGTTATCCACGTCATGGACCATGGCCGAATCGTCGAGTCTGGCTCCTTCCAAGAACTAGAAGCCGGGACCGGACTCTTTCGACAAATGCTCGACGCCCAGTCTACTGCCAGTACCGCCTGAACATGCCTGCCTCAAGTGATTTTGCCCGAGTGCTAGCAACAGGCTTGATTTCGTTTTTGTGCATCTTTTAAGAGAAAATAAATTTTACGCGTTTCTTTCGAGATGTCGTGTGCATTCCGTGAATGCTTCCAGGGCAGACATCTTTCCTCCTTGCTTCATGCTGTAATTGAACCTGGCTTTGACGCTTGCTCCATTGCTTCCTGCCACAATCCTACCATCCGATCACAAAGAGCTTTGAGACACTGCTCAACAATCTTCCCCATGGGGTTGTGCAATGCCTCCATGTCACCGTAAGCATGCCACAAAAGGATCAGTAGAAGAGGCTTGGGTGTGAAACGTTGCGCCGCAGAATGATTGCTTTTGTAAATTGGATCGCTAGAAGCACAAGCGGGCCGGTTTAGCGCGCAAGCGCGCACGGCGATCAGCCCCACTTGATGTGCGAGACAATGTGAGGAAACAGAAATGGAGCACAGCAACAAAAAAAAAAACCACAGACAAAATAAAAGAACAGACCCATGAGCAAAAACAAGAAAGAAAAAAAGATGAGACAATGCTACACGGAGCAGGACCAGTATGCCACAACATGTAAAAAAAAGTGGAGGCGAGCAATAATTCCAGCACAGTCGCCATGCCACCAGGGCATGCACAACAGGCATCGTTCCTGAACGATGCCTTGGGTGGGTGCTGGCGCCTCATGAGCTTCTGAGTTTTATCCATTTTTAACCTTCAGTCTTGGTGAAGATGCGCTGTGGACGACACAACCCCGCTGTGCGTGGCGTACACAACTTTGCCAACCTCTAGATAAATGCCAGATATTCTTAAGGGCGCTGGGGCACAGTGGGGCGCCCCGGAATAGTGGGGCGGCTGCTGGGTGGCGGTGGTGCGCTGCGCTGGCTTGGCGCTGGACGAGAGGGCACGGCGGGATTGGGTGCACCGGTGGCTGCATTGCGGAGTGGATAACAGACATGAGATGAAAAAGCGCCAAAGGCAAGAAACAGGTTGAAACAGAAATAAAAATAAAAGGCAGGGGGCGCAGTATGGGCAGCGGATGAAATCGGAGAGAGAAATCAATCGAAATCGCCAGTCACGTACCTGGACGAGCAGGCGCGCGAGGAGAAGGCTTGGGTGGGCCGCCACCCGTCGATGTGGGACGTGGGGGTGGGGCGCCGGGGCGACCGGCAGGAGCTGGACGCGGGGGTGCACTGACAGGAATGCTATTCTCGACTGGAGGAGGCAGAGACTCGCTCTTTGTTGTCAGGTTAACGTCCTTGATAATGTCCAGAGCCTGCTTGGAAGCCTGGTACATGGCGAGAAGCTCGTTACGGCGATTCACCTCTTCTGGAGACTCCTCCATCAGCTCCTCGGGGCTTTGGCGGTAGAGATGGGCAATCAGCTCGTCGCTGATAAACTCCTTGACGTTGTTTACCATAATGTGCATGCAGACCTTGGGCACCTGGTCGCGTAGGGTCTTGTGGACAATTTGCATGTACGAGTCAACGAGGTTGCGAATAATCTCGACCTGGCGCTCAAGCTGGGGGTCGGTGCTCTCCTCGTCCTCAATCTGAGCCGCGTCCTCCGCCTCTTCATTCTGAGGGTACACGCCCGCGCGTAGGAAGGAAGCCATCCAGCCCTCCATCTCCTCTTGAGTTGGTGCCACCAGCTCAAGGGTCTCGTGGTTCTTCCACACGTTCTTGTGGCTGTCCTCCGAGTTGAAAAGCTCAAAGGCAAAGCGCTTGCGGCCCAAAAGGCTGCTCTCCTCGACAACGCGCAACTTCAAGTCATCCAAGGACAAGAGATACTTTTGCTCTTTCTGATCCGAGTCCTTGTACCATGCGAGGGAAGAGGCTTGCAGCACGAAAAAGTAGTCCTTGGCGCCACCTAGACGGCCTGAGCCGCCAATGCCCAAATAACCCTTGCGGATTTCCTGAGCAATTCAGAACCACGTAGCACATAATCCCACAAAATGAGCGCGTGCGCTGACAGACGAGCGGCACGAATCCAACTTCAAGGTGTGGCCTGATTGAACGAGCCCCAGACTCAGTTCGGACACGCGGAATCGTACCTGGGTAGGCGCGTCTGCACGCATGGTATTGCTGCTGCGCGCACGCTTGCCGTTGGCGGCGTTGGCAAACCCAATGAAATCGGGGTGATTGGTGTTCATGTACGAGAGCTCAATCGAGATCTGGTTGTTGATGTGCACCTTGGCCTTTTCCTCGCAATCGCGAATGTGCGTCGAGACGAGCGTTTCACACTCGTCACGAAGGCTATCAGGCCAACGATGATGGTGATGAGTGTGTCCGGGATGTACACTAACAGTCCGCTGGTAGACGGATAGCAGCAGGTGCTACAGCAACAACAAGGCGTGGACGGCTCACCGGGGATAGCGCGCCATGTTTTGCGTGACATCATTCAAGAGCTCAACCAGCTCTTCACATACCATGTCCACGCACTTTAGGGAAGGCATCTGCACATGGACAGGCACATTCGGGGTGTGAGCGGGTTCTGGGGCGGGTCCGCGGAACCATGTCTGGCCTTCAAAATGCGTACCTTGAGCTTCTCGATCAGGCGCTTGGTGACGGCTTCAAAGGCCATATCAGGGGTGAAGAGGCCAACGCGGATACCACGAATGTTCTTGATGGCAAAGCCAATTTCACGGCGCAGCGTGCGCTCGTCGAGATCCATCTTGACGAGCTCAAAGGGGAAGCGCTCGTGAAACACACGGGCGATGCGTGCGCCACCACTGAGACGCTCGACGTTGACCGTGTCACCAGAACCCTCAATGCGTTTTTCAAACTGGTTGGCAAACTGATTGACCATCTGCACCATGGCCTTGGTGTTTTTGGTGCCGTCTATACCGTAAAAAATGTCCCCAGGTTTATGGCCAATGTGAGGAATATAAGGCAACGACTACAAACAAACGCATGCACTGGGCGAGGGCAACACACCATTGGGATCGTAATGCTTGAACTCGGCCACCTGGCTCTCAAGAGCAACGAGCTGTTTTTGCAGCTTGTTGCGAATGCCGGGGAGGCATTCGCGAATATGGTTGGTCAGCTGCTGATTGAGGGCCTTTTGCAGATATGGTGTGCCGTTCTTGGAGGCAATGTCTTTGTACGACGGGTGCATGAGAAAGAACTTGCGCTCAGCGTCAAGGGCAGCGCGAATGTCTTTGCGTCCGTCGATATCCTTTTGTGAGCGATTGACAACACCAATGTAGCCGCGACGCAGGGGTAGAAATTCATTGGTCAAAATGGCACGAGCGTCTGTGCCACTGTCCATGAGGTCAAGCTTGGTGATGACACCAATCGTGCGCACGCCCTCTGGATCCACCTCCTTGGCGAGCTTGAGGGCATCCGAGTTGGCCAGATCCTGGTTGGCAGGTGTGACAGCCAGAATGATGCAGTTGTCTTTGGTGATAAACTCCATGAGCATGCCGCGGATTTGATTTTCAATGTCCGCGGGCTGGTCGCCGACGGCCACCTTGGTCAGACCCGGCAGATCGACCAGTGTCAGGTTCAGAACTACGAATCGTCAGAAATGAGATCAGCATCAGGGGGCATACATGCATCAGACCTGCTACCCGCTGCCCGCGCACACAAATACACAACAACAACGGACGAGGCGAGGCGGAAAGGGAAAGGCTCCGCGCTTTCCGTGGGGATCCTTGAGATTGATCTGCATACCGTGGGGAGAGTAGACGCGCAAGTTGATAGGGATGTTGGAAATGCCCTTGTTGCTGCCGGTCATGCGATCTGTTTCAGCCTCGATTTCTTGGCGAATTTCGTTAAAGTCGGTAAACTTTTTGCCTCGAGCATGCAAGAACTCGCCCCACTCTGTCCAGCAGACATGAGATGTATGAGGCGATCGGGGTGAAAGACAGCCGTTTGCTCAAGACAAGCGCAAACCAGGTATTCAATAATCAAAGCCTCTGACCAGCTGAGGGATGGTAGTTGAGCTGAAGCACCAGGGGGCGACGGGTGACAATGCCCGAACCGCGAGGCAAAAAGTCCCTACGCGTCCAAATGGCAATGGTGAGAAGGGCCATGAGCTAAGATTGCGGTGGATATGGCCAAGGCCAGGGATGGCATTCAGGCGACCAACGGATCCATGCCGAACCGAGAGGTGAGACGTACTTTCCCACAAAGTTTTCAAGGACGGAGGATTTGCCAGCGGATTGACCGCCGACCACGGCGATCTGAGGCAAATCGAGGGGCACCTCGCCACCCAGGGAGGCAAAGGCATCTTGAAGCTTGTTGACCACCTCAATGAGGTTCTGCATGCCCGAATTGGTCGACATGGCGGGCGGTGTCTTGGCGAGACTGAGACAACGGTCACTGCCCACGTCCACGCCTACTGGCCTGGTGATGGTAGCCAACATGAAAGAAAGAGGTCATGAAAAATGGGCGAGGATAAAGACTTGGTTTTATACAGAGCGAGGATTCGAGGTCGTTCAAGAGGATTGCCAGTAACAGTGGGATAAAAAATAACTTGAAATGATGAGCAAATGACACGACGCTTACAGGATGTGGCCAAAACGGCAGCCGAGGCGAAACGATCCAACAAAGGCGAAAGGGGCAAGATGGATACAGAAGGTATACAAACGTTTGCCAAATGAGAAGCCGCTTCAAATCAAGTGTTGGACACGACTGGACGGCAAGTTTGAGCGCAGCACCAGCAGCCCGTCGCGCCACGACAAGGCACACGCAGCACTCGATACTGAACAGTTGAAAGAAAAAAAAAATGGAAATGAAATGCGAGTGGCCACCCACCTAAAGATACCGAGATACAAGGGTCATCGGCGCCATCCATGCGCGCATGATTGCGGCCAGAGCAAGGGTTGCAAGCCACCAAGCCCAGAGGAGGGCGGCGACAGAGCCATCGGCAGTGGCAGAGATGTCGAGAGAAGACGCGTTCCAAAAGCATCAAGATGAGTATGGCATTGAAACGTCATCGCTTAAGGCGACAAAATATCCCGTGTCCCCTGACTAAAACCACAACGCAACGAACCTCCCCCTCCCTCCCCGCTTCCTTCTTGTCTTCTCATTCCCTCTTCAATTGAACCAGATGGCGCTGCCATTTAGCGACCGGTACCCCGAGACGGACCTGAAGATGTACACAGTGAACTGGCACACAACAACAACAACAACAATAAAGAACGAAGGCAGAGAGATGAGATGATGTGATCGGATCTTAGAGATGAGTGATGCATGAGTTGGTCGGGTTAGAGATGGGAGAGGGTTCAGATACTTGTACAGAAGGAAATACAAGCCTGCTCCAGAGATTTATTTTACCAATGTGTAGATCCCAGAGATGAGGACTATTTCCAATGTCACGGGAGAGAGTGCATATGAGGCTCTCCCCCAAGTCTTGTGCGAGACAAGAAGACTAGGAGACCAACTATAGCGGTACGCCAACGCACACCGGAGACTAACTGAGACTGGGAGACTAGAAGACTTGACGAGTCTTGTCCGAGACTGGAAGATTGAACGACCGCGTGCGGCCATGTGGCTCTACACTCACACACACACACACACACACACACACACACACACACACACACACACACAGTGCAGTTTTACTGAAAGAGGCCCTTGGTCGAGGTCGCTGTTGTGGTTTGCGCGTTTGGAAACGGCAGCCGGGCGGGGACCGCAAGGGTGACGGAAACCTGAGGCGTTTGTCCCTGGCACCACTCGTCGTACACACACAGAACCGACCGCCATGGATGAGATTACCCGCAAAGTCCGCGAGCGCGTCTCGCTTACCAAAGACCGCGTCGATTACGTATGTTGGTCGGGCCCGCTATTGCGCCTCGGGTGTTTTGGATCCTTTCGACCCTTTTGCGTCCCACGGGCGCTTCCGCCCGCACTTGATCAACCTTGCAACTCCGGCTCGGCCTCATGATGATGTGGCTTGCTTGGATTTTCGTTTCTTTTGTTTCCTTAAGACGGCCAGCACTGATTTTCCTGGCAGCTACCCGGGCATCGATGACAGCTGGAACCTTGAGGCCATTAAAAAGGTAGCCTTGAGAGCATGTTGAAACCCCCATTCGCAATGTCGTTGCCCCAGTTTGTGCTGGTTCAAGTCGAGACCTTGCCGCTTCTCACATTGACCTTTTGGGTTTGGCCGCTCTCTTTTTACTCGTGTGCAGAAACTCAAGATTGATGTCACCCGCATCGAGGACAGCGAGTATGAGCTTGAATTTGACATCATTGGTCTAGACGCTGCCATCGTCAACACCATCCGCCGCATTCTTATCGCTGACGTACGATCCACGGAATGGCCATGTTTCTTCTGAGACAAGGCTCTTCGTCATTGTGCATGCAACGCAGCCCATGCGTCTTCTTTTGTCCTCATCAACCACACCTGCCTCCGTACGTTGCATGCCCCCTCCCAACAGACGCCCACCATGGCCATTGAGTCTGTCTACATCTTCAACAACACATCCATGCTGCCCGATGAGCTCTTCGCACATCGCCTGGGCTTGATTCCCATCAAGGCTGACCCGCGCCACTTCACGTACCGCGCCGATGACGGCGGACAGCCAACCGATGCAAACACCATCGTCTTCAACCTCAAGCGTGTCTGCACCAAGAAACCAAATGCTCCCGCCGATGCCACCAACCCCGAAGACTTGTACGAGAATGCCGTCATCTACTCGCGAGACCTTGAATGGGCACCACAGGGTCAACAGGAACAAGTGGTGCGTTGACCAAAAACTTTCACCTCCAAAAGCGTGTGTCGAAACAGTCAAAACTTGCGCTCTCAGTGTTGCCTCTTGATTTGTTGCTAATCTTGGGGGGTCAAAAGGGCGCGACAGTCACTCGGCCGCTGATTCGACCCGCACCACTCGATTGGTGTGGCCAGGCGCCCACACGTTCACCATCATGTGGGCGCCGTGCGAATCACGGCCAAACTTGTTTAATAACACCCCAAACTTGTCAACACCCCGGTGCTTGTGTTTTGCACACTCATGCCCCTGGATGTGTCTTGTCCTGGTCGTGTGCCGACACGCCATGCAGTTTGGCAAAAATGGATTCAGTGTCGTCTATGATGACATTGTCATTATGAAAATGCGCCCCGGGCAAGAAGTCAACATGCAGCTCTTTTGTGAAAAGGGTGAGTGGTTTGCGTCTGTGCAACCTCGCGTTGCTTTCTTGTTGCTAATGGCGTCTCACCCCAACTCGTTGAATGTTTCTCTTTGGTCTATATACAAAGGCGTTGGCAAGACCCATGCCAAATGGTCGCCCGTCGCAACCGCCTCGTACCGTCTCATGCCCGAAATCATCCTCAAGGAGCCTATTGTGGGCCCGTTGGCACACAAGCTGCAAAAGTGTTTTTCACCCGGTGAGTGGATCTGCGTTAGCGGCACCTAGCTTGTTGTTTCTCCTGGCTTGTGGGGCCATGCTTATTCGTACCGCCTGCCTCGATGTGTGTTCGATCCACAGGTGTCTGTGACATTGTGAAGAACAGCAAAGGTGAAGATGAGGCAAAGATCGTGAACCCCCGTGCCGATACCGTTTCCCGCGAAGTGTTCCGCCACGATGACCTGAGGGATAAGGTCGAACTTAACCGCGTACGCGACCACTTCATCTGTATGTTGAGTTGCTCGCCGTGCCCCACGTTTCGACCGTCTCGTCCTTGCGCCTTGATTTTTTTTTTTTTTTTTAAATCTGTCTGACCCGCCTTCCCCGCTACCTTTATGTACATCTTGTCTCCTGTACCGTCAGTCTCCGTCGAGTCAGTGGGCGCACTCGCTCCCGACGTGCTGGTACTCATGGCTCTGCAAGAACTCAAGAGCAAATGCCAGCGTGTCATTGACTTTTTGGATGAATCAGCGCAAGTCGCTGCGGTCAATGCCAACCTTCAGGATGACAGTGCTGATGCCGAGGCATAGCTGTTCGTTTCATCCCTTTGTCTGGGCCTTTCATGGCCTCTTTGGTTCGCTGGCCCGAATAAACGATGTATTCTCGCTTCATAATCGACTCAACCTATTCAAACACGCCGACTTTTCTTCCTCGCACAACATATATGAAACCAAAAACTGGAGAACAAAGGTTCAATTGCTTCTTATAAATCCTCCATCAGAAGTGTGATAAAAAAAAATTGTCTCCAACTCACCAAGTTGTTTGTCTCAGGTTAGGCCGCACGCTCGCACACACACATACACACACAGGAAACAATCGGTTATACACAGAAAAGGGAAATGAGATTATTGCAAATCCTCCGCCTTGACGCCACGAGGCTCCACTTGCAGTGATAACTGGTACAGGGCCTCATCGTCCAGGTGTTCAAAGTCTTTAAACAGGGAATAAACCTCCGGTCGCGATTTGTAATCATACTTTTCACTTTGAAAATGCTGGACAGCACTGCAAATCGAATGAAAGTGTTGCATCTGCCAACAAGCACCAAGCCGGTTGAGAACAACGCAAAGAGCCCATCCCAGGTTATGTGTTTACCGAGCGAAAGCAGGCGCTGGATCATACCTTAGCAAAGTTGACGATGCGCGACACGGGAGCCGTCGGGAAAGCGATGCCCTCGCAGTCATCAAAAAAGTCTGGATTGCCATTGTGCACAAACGTAATGTCCGACAGGTACAGGCCCAGGTATGGGATCGCAGGCAGGCTGGCCTGGGCACACGCGCTCCGATACACGGCAAAGTTGCGGTCGCGGGACATCAGAAGCTTCAACTTGCGCAAGCGGCTTGCCACCTTGGAGCCGGCATGGTCAAAGGTATGCTTGAGGCGGTGCACGGCCGCATTGTCAATCCCTGACAAAATGGCCAAGAGGGCATTGAAGTTGTGCAGCTTGCGCAGTGCGCGCATCACGTCCACCAGTTTGGCTAGTACTTTGGCCCGACGCCGCAAGCGCTCGGTGCGACAGAGGAGCGTTGCGGCCCACCGGCTCACGCTGTTAAAGTGGTTTGTCACAGCAATGATATTGCTGCAGTCTGCACGCTTTGATTCGTGACGCCAACTGATGAGCTCTTCAGGTGTGATAGCAGCCAACAATTCCGCATCCCGCAGGCACAACTCGCGTGCCACATCGAAATCAGGAACATCTGTAATGGACTCGAAGCGCGTGAAAACCTGCTGCTCCTGCGGGCGATCGGGAATCACAATGGCCCGTCGAGGGCTGGCCGCGGCACGCCGCTGCTCTTCCAGCTTGGCCCGCTCCTCCAGCGCCAGGGATAGCGCCTGCAAAACCTCAACAGCCAGCTCGATAAAGTGGACGTCACCCAGGCGTAGCAAGCGGGTGATGGCATCTGCAACCCGCTGCAAAAGAGACATGTTGAGGTCCCGCAAGAGGCGCGGCAGCAAACGCGCAAGGGCATCTGAGCAGCGAGAGTGTTCAAAAGCAGCTTCGCTCAGGTTGGCACCAGCCACAATGCCTTCGTAAGACTTCAGATGACAGTCGGTCAAAAACCGCATCACCTGATCGGCGTCGGTGAAGATGCCAAAGCTCAGGTCAAAGGCCGGTAAGTAGTCCGGGTCCGCGTTCGAAACAGCCACTAAAAAATGCATCAGCTGTTTGACCGTTGCAAGCTTGACTCGCAAAATTTCGTGGTGGTCTTCTAACGCGTATCGATAACAGACTGCTCCAGTGACATCGTCAATCTCATCCCCGGCCTCGGCCACGTACACAATTTGACCTGCATCACCAGTGTCACCGCCGAGGCTCGTGCGAGGCAGCGGTGCGGCTGTTGGCCCGACATCGTCCGTGGACGTCGCCTCGGTATGGTCGGCATCTGTAAGCTGCATGACGACCGGGTGGCCCTTGGTCAGCGAAGGGCGGTGGGGTGAGCCATGGCCATTGCCCTCACCACTTATCACCTGCGCTCGTGGGCGCATCATATCCGCTTGACGGTCGCTGTAAGAGCGGGGCTTGGTCGTTAAGGCGACCGGACCTTGTGAGGGAGAAGATTGCATCGTTTTGGAGCGCCCGCGACCGTCGTCGCCATGGCCCGTGATCAGTGATGCCACAAGCGATGAGGCGGATCCGTCGGTCCGCGACGCTGAAGCAGCCATGTCCCGAAGCGGGCCACGTGGAGGAAGGGCCGGTGAGCCCACAGCAGGTGACGCTCGACCCCCTGTGGGTATGCGTGGGGGGATGACGGGCGGAACATCAATGGGTGCTGTCGTTGCGGGAACCTCCAGTCGCTCAGCGGCACTTGCGGCCGCTTGGCTCGAGCTTTGGGCTTCAGTAGACGGCTTTGCTGGAAATGGATTGCTGCCCGTTGTGCTCTCTGCTGATCCGCTGGTATTGGCATGGGCAAGGCGACTCGCGCGACCACTCGGGGTTGTGCTAGTCGGGGCACTGGACCCGTCGACCCCTGCTCTTGTCGAGAGAAAGCTAGCAAAGGGATTGGTAGAAGACAGGGTCCGCGGCAGTTCTGTGGGTATCACTGACAAGTGGCCTGTAGAGCTTGGGGGGGCGTGTTCCCGCTCGGACGTTGGTCCGGCATCTGACTCGAAGGAAGTGCTGATGTAAGAGATGTCACCGACTGTCGAGTTGTCATCATCGTCATCATCCGTCATGAGAGCCTGAGCCGAGGCCATGGCCGATGCATCGAGGCTTGCGACCGGATCATGAAAGTTGGCAAAGGGGTTCTTGGCTGAGAGGCGAAAGGCCGGGTGCCGGTGTGCCTCACGAGCAAAATGCTGTTCGTGAGCCGTGGAGCTGCTGAAGGTGGAGTGGCGGAGGCGCCGGGCGCGCTCCATACGCTCCTGATCTTCGGCACGGATGCCTAAAATAGACATGCGGCGGCGAGATATGTTGCTCCGTTCCCCCTCGTTGCCAGCCTTGCCGGAACCCAGGCCAAAGTCGCTGCGCCGTGGCCGTGCAGGACGCCGAGTCATCAAATCGCCCACATCAGCGGCCTCCAGTGCCGCAGCCGTGTCATGGTCCAAGCCTGATCCAGGTGCTGAGTGGCCTCGACTGCCATAGCTGTCGTCATCATCGTCATCTTCGTCGTCGTCATCCGAGTCATCGTCAGTGCTCCCCCGTCGATAACGGGACGGGTGTTCGACCGAGCTGCCCCTACGCAATGTTGCCAGGCTCTCGGGGTCTGTTGGCTGATTGGCCTGCGCGTCCTCGTCCTCTTCCTCGTCCGATGTCATGGTGCCAGTTCGCAGCTTCAGGCCGTGACGCGCACCAGTACGCCCGGGATCCGCATACTCGAGTGGCTGGTCTCGGGCAGTACGGGCCCCATTTTGGCTGTGCGTGGGGGACCAGGCACCGTCCCACTCCCAACCGGATCCCGCCCCCATCTCCTCGTGGGAGAACTGATGCATGCGCTCGGGCGATCGATCAACGGCCGTAACGCCGTCGTTCACCTCCATCACGGCCGTCACGCGGTTGGGCCGCTTGATGCTGTTGCGACGACGAACCGAGCCCGAGGCATCCGAGGGTATGCTAGGTGACAGCACTCTGTTTGAGTCCGACACAAGATCTCCGCTCGTTGGCGGAATCGTACTTGGCATGGGCGAAGGACGCCCACTAAACGGGTCACCAGAGTGACTTTCGATGCTCGCGTTTTCACGGCTAACGCCGTTGAGTGCGTGTAGTTCCCCGGCTGACGCGCGCAAGCTATTCGGTTCAGAGCGTGCGGCCGCGTGTGGCTCGCTGCCGATCTGGCCCAAACTGGAGCGCTGAGCGATAAAGTGATCCAGCGAACTAAATGAAGTGCGCCGGTCATCTTCGATCTGACCACTAGCATTGGGAGCAGAGACACTGCCGGGGGCCGTGGAAGAAACTGATGTCCCAGCCGGCGATGCCACCCCCGACCCAAACGGGCTGTTTTTATTGCCGTGTGCGTGGTGATGGTGACTTCGTGTGCTGTGACGTGTGCGGGCGCGCCGGGTGGAGCCACCAAAGCCATCTTCGCTGCCACGACCACTGCCAATGTGCAACAATGAGGCTGACTTGGAGCGCACGACAAAAGGGCGCAGCGGCGGCATTTCAGTCTCCAAGTTGGTGCGCTGCGACCCCAGTGCCTCGTTGAGGGCTTGTAGCAGATCGTTGCAGTTGGCACAGAGTAGGGCTTGCGCGCGCTCTGCCTCGAGGCCGTAGCAGCGTACAAGGCGCTCCACCTTGACGGGGTCAGCTACAACCGCCGCTCGGCTCGTGAGTCCTGATCGCGGAGTGGTCGGCTGTGGTGTGCCCGTAGGCATCGAGCCAATGGAGGAAACTGGAGATGCGGCGGCATTGGGGTTGGGATGCGGTGGAGAGCCAGGTGCGGCCCCGTCCCCAGTCATGGGCACGGGCTGAATCGGAGGGGTGGAGGGGATTGACCCCAGCTCTGGCTGTGTGGTACGAGGAGATGACGAACGCGAGCGCACGACAAGTTCCATGGCCGATCCTGCCCGTGTCGGCAAGGCTGCCAAACCTTTTCGAAGAAGTCCCCGGGCGTTGACGCCAGTGTCTGAGGCACTGGTTTGAGTGGGCAACCGAAGGGGTGTATGGGTGTCTTGATCGAAAAGCAGGGCGCTGATGGATTCAAGACAAAGCAGCACCTTGTTGGTTTTGCTCGTGAGGTCAGCAATCAAATCCGGGGTAGGGGCCGTAAAGTACATGGGCTCACGCTGCGCCAGCGGCTGCAAGCGGCAAACGAGGTCTGCAATGTCAGCCACTATTCCACAAAGCGATTGTTGGGGTGGCCGTAGCTCGTCAATCAGCGACTGTCGATCTGCGTCGTGGTGTTCATCCACCGTGTATCCAATTAGCTGCAAGAGCCCTTGCAACGTGCCGAGCACGCGCGTCACTGCCGGCAAGGCTCGCTCCTTGACCTCAAGTCGCCTGCAGAGATCGCTGAGGGCCGCGATGAGCAGGGCAAAAGTATCCTGAAAGTCATGCTGATAGAGTTGGCCCAAGTGCTCCTCGATAGTTTCTGGTATGCTCTGTGATTTGGGTATTGGGCCAGGCGGTGAGGAAGGCAGAAAGGTGATGCGCAGCGTGGAGGCGTGACACACCTCGCGAGGGGTGGCGCTCGAGTCGCGCGTGCGCTTGATGAGTGATTGAAGCTGCCAAGAATTACAGCAGCAATGACAAACAACAAGAGTTTGAACTGAGTAATGGCCGCAAGCGGCGAGCGGAGGAATGGCTTCCTTAAGAAGAAAAAATTCAAAAGAAGAAAGCCAATCAAACAGACAACGAGAGACGGGAGACGAGTCAAGGGGCCCACACCTTTTTGCGGGTACTGGGCTTGTAATAGTGCACGTGGCCGTGCCTAGACGAGTAGAAGGTGAACATGAGGGCAAATTCAGTGGAGACCTCGAGCAAGCTCGCACAAGGTTGGACGTACGTTTCGTCGGAGGTCTGATCTTTCAGGAGGCGCAGCCACTCATTGAGAGCGTGCTCAGACTTGGCACGGAATGCCGCCGTATACTAGAATAATAAGATAATACGAATACAACGGTAAGCCCAACCAAGATAGGTGGGCCAAAAAGGTCACATATCCCGCTACGCTGTGCGAGAATAGCGCGGCGTGGTGGAACCGACCTTGCGACCGCCGGCGTGATGTTCGAGAACAAACTTGTTCTTCGACTCGTTACACTACAGTGAATAGGATGGGGCGTTCCCCGACAAGGGCCAAGGACGAGGTTAGACCAAGCGTGCGCGAGCCATGCCGCCACTGGGGTGTACTCTGTAAACCGACACGGCACGGACCAGCAGTTCATTGCCCTTGATGGGGGTCTGATTGACGACTGCATCAAACAATGGTTGGCTATCTTCATCCACCTCAAACTCGTAAAGCACACCCGCCTGGCACAAGCGATTACACGTAAGTTGATAGACGCGCCGGACAAAAGCGAGAGCCGGGGTCGGGACGGCATGGAGTGGGGATAACAAAGGGCCAGACCTGCAGTACGACGTAACGCTCTTTCCAGGCCTTTTTCAACACCTTCTTATAGAGCAAACCCTATCATGACAAGATAAATTGAGAGTCAGGCATCGCACTGGGCCGTGCAAGCAAGTGCACGCGCGCGTGCGTGCAGGCTGATAAAGGCATGAGAGCGAAAACAAGACCTGATGCTCGAAGGCGGCTTTGTCTGGGATGAATTCGCGTTGCTCGTAGGGCGAGGAGCTCGCGTCAGGGCCCAGCGAGCCAGTACTGCTGGCCACGGAGGAGGCCGAGCTCTGGGGATGCTGAAGCCGTTTATCGGACCGAAAGCGGTTTAGCATGTCGACGGTGCGTTCTCACTGCATAGCCAGTCGCGGCCTGCGGCGTCGCGTCCGAGATGGCAGAGTCTGCGACGATGGCAAAGCAGCAATGTCAAAGATGGATACCAACAGCTCGAAAGGTGAAACTGTGTTTAGTCAAAGAGAGAAGGGGGTGCTGGTAGGAGGCGAATATGTGATCCCAAGTCATGGTCTCGCGCCATCACAGACCGCAGCAGCATCAAGGTTCTTGAGCTGTGCGGGCTGATCTGAGAGGCAAAGGCACAACTAAAATAAAAAATGTGTGTCTGTGTGTGTGTGTGTCTCTGTGTGTGTGCGCGCGCGCGCGCGATAGAGAGAAAGAGGGAAGGAGATGCAGTGCGCTTGCGTGCGTGCGTGCGTGCGTGTGTGTGCGTACGTGCGTGTGTGTGTGTGTGTGTGTGTGCCTGGAGTGGCCATTAGAGAAGCCAGGGGTCATCGTACCTCAATCGATCCAAAACCCGAAAAGCCACAATCAGACTGTCAAAGCGTCGCTCCGCCACCTCCAGTCAAACCAATGAACCCCCCTCCTCGTTCGACCCCGACCCTTCCCCCTCTCATCAAGGTAGCAGGGAAGAACAACCAGCAATCTTGATCAACAGCGAAGAAGCAGCACCAGGCACCACCAGCACCAGCACCAGCAGAAAGGTAGGCAGCAGGCAGCAGTGGCAGAGAGTGCGAGAGAGAGAGAGAGAGAGAGAGAGAGAGAGAGAGAGAGAGAGAGAGAGAGAGAGAGAGAATCTAAAGCTGAAGAAACTGCAACAACTGGATATTATACGTTGATAAGTGGCAAGTGGAATGATTTCGGAAGAAGCGATATGAAAGCACTTAAATGCAATAACTGAAGAAATCGCAGCAATAACAACGTCAATAACATGAACATCACAGGTCTCGCTACCAGCTGTGAGAGTTTGTGGCCCATATACCTCATAAAGCTGTCGGGGTGTCGCGCGAGCGAACCTGACATTTATGTCAGATGATTTTAAGGCAATTGTTAAACCCGTATTTTTCAGAACAGAATATTTGGGAAATAGATGCGGGTAAATTTGAATTTGTTGCTCCCAAACTTCGCTTTGTCAGCACATCGAAAAAAAAAAAAAAAAAAGGAACTGACGAGCGCTGATCGGCGGTTTCATTTTATTCTTTTCCCTTGCTGCTCCCCCGGGCCAGCCTCTCTTGCCTGGTAGAACCGCTGCGCCTTGGTAAGTTGGCAACTTGTGTGTGTCCTTGGCAAACTGGGATGAATTTGTTGTGTCTGGGGCATTCAAAAGCTGGGAACTCTGCCCGCTACCCATTTGCCGTCAGTTGAATAAGCGGCTTGATGCCGTTGGCCACGCTCAGCTCACTCATGTGCATTGCGGGTCTGCGAATAGTCTGAGCGCTTGCTGGCCCTTCTAGGAGAGGTGCTCAGCCCCTCTTCTTTCTATATTCATTCTTTTTTAAGGAAAAAAAAAACAAGAAGTTTTTGCCCTGGGCCCTGAAGCTATCAATTTTCTGTGAGCCCGATCTCCCCAGCGTCCGCACTGCAGGACCGCCAACATGGACAAGGTGCACGTCACCATCCGTGTCCGGCCTCTCAAGGAGCGGTAAGTCTGTGACCACTCGCATTCAGCAGCTCAAAGCTCGCACCTCAGCCCCGTGGAAACCACGGCGTTGCTTCACACGATACACGCGGCCCTCGCTCGCATAGCGAGGCCGACAAGGGCACAGCATGGGAGCTGACGGACACCACCATGAAGTCGTCCACCCGTGGGCAAGATCAATACGTGTTTGGTAAGAGCTTCCCTTCCACCGTGTCACCGCCTGCCCTTGATTAAGCCTCGGCGATGCTAAATCCCCTCCTCTCGTCCCCTCCTACCAATTTGTGCAACCCACAGACCGCGTCTTCAAGCCCAATTGCGACACGGACATGGTGCACGATGCCGTCTCCCGTCCCATCGTCGCCGATGCCATGCAAGGCATCAACGGTACGCTGTCAAAATGTGCTATAACCCCTTTCCAGAATGACTGCTCGCATTCCTGCTCATGTCAATGCCGTGCCTCGCACCATGCCAGGCACCGTCTTTGTCTACGGTCAAACTTCGTCTGGTAAGACACATACCATGATGGGCACGGACGATCATCCTGGCATCATCCCTCAAGCGATTGACGACATTTTTGAGAGCATTGAGGCGGTAAGCTGCAAGTAACCTGCCTGCCGCATTTGGCTTGGCTCGACCCAACTCACTTCTGCGTGCCGGCTCCCGTGGTATGTCTTCTTAGCAAAATGATCGCGAGTTTCTCCTGCGTGTCTCTTTCCTTGAAATATACAACGAGGTAGGCCTTGACATATGCCTCGAGCTGTTGTTGCAAGCGCTCGCGATATTGACATGCCAAGCAAGTGACTTGTTTCAATGCCACTCACGACCCGATTTCAATGCCTCTCTTTGCGAATGTCATCAGAACATTAGTGATTTGTTCAACGGCAGCAACACCAACCTCAAGGTTTGTTCCAAGCCTCATCGAGCCAAATGCACGGCCACAACACGCCATGCATTTGCTCCTCTTTGTCGCTCCACACTTGGCTGATCTGTGTGGTTTTCCTTCTGGCGCTCCCGTTCCATTGTCGTTTGTGCTGTCTTCTAATCTGGTGTAGATCCATGAGACGGTTGAGGGTGACATCTTTATTGGCGACCTGACCGAGGAGGTCGTGTACACGCCAGAAGATGTGTTGTCACTGCTTGAACGCGGTCTTCGCAACCGCAAGGTTGGAGCAACGCGCATGAACGACCACAGCAGCCGCTCGCACACAATCTTTCGCTTTGTGATTGAAAGCCGCGAATACGTCCCAGAGACGTCGGAGAACGCCGGACGTGAGAGTCTGCAAGGTGCCGTCCGCGTATCCCACCTAAACCTCGTCGATCTGGCTGGCTCTGAGCGCATCGCAAACACTGGTGCTGAGGGTATGCGCCTGAAGGAGGGGGCTTCCATCAACAAGTCACTCCACTGCCTCGGCAACGTCATCTCCAAGCTCACCGAGTATGTCCCACCACCGCCTCCTCCTCTGTTCCGTTGTTTGACCAGGGCCTCATTGAATTTAAACAGCTTCCTACTGGTTGTGCTTTGTGCCAGTCTGCCCCTCTCATTCCTTCTGCTGTACCACTTAGATCTACTGACGCTGCCCATGTGCCCTACCGTGACTCCAAGCTTACACGCATTCTTCAAAACTCGCTCGGTGGCAACGCCCGCACGGGTATCATTTGCACCGTGACCGCGGCCGCCGTCCACCAGGACGAAACGATCTCTACCCTCAAGTTTGCAACCCGCGCCAAAAAGATTTGCAACCACGCCGTGGTCAATGAGGTCTATGATGAAAAGGCACAGATTGTCAAGCTTCGCAAGCAAATTCGTGAGCTGGAAAAGGAGAAGCTTGAACTGGAAAGCGGTGCTGCCGTGCAGCAGCTTGAAGCCGAAAAGGCGCAGCTAGCCCGCGATCTTGCAGCACAAAAAGAGAACATCTCAAAGCTCAGCACGATGCTTCTCCACTCGGACGCACTCATCCAGCCCTCCCCGCGTGTACAAAACCCCCGCGCACGCCGCAACGAGCGTCGCAAAACATGGGCCGCGCCCAAGCATCGTCGCAGTATGATGCGCTCGCGCATGTCCATTCTGCCCGGCAGCGGCTCGGGCATTGGTGGTCGACGCTCGATTCTTCCTTCGGCTGACGTTCTGCTCAACAGCTCTGAACCCATGGAAACAGCTGTTGAGGGCCCCGTGGACACAAGCCGCCGCCGTCGCCAGGCTCGCCCCGCCGCCTCTGCTACGGATTCGGGCACATTCTCTCGACAAGAGGTGCTCGAAGGCAAGAACCGCCAGCTCGAGCGTCAAGTGCGCGAGCTTGAAGATGCACTCAATTCAGTCAATGAGCTCTTGGAAGGTACCATTCGCGATAAGGACCGTGTGACGGAGCAACTTGAACAGGCCATGGCTCAGGCCGCAGCAGCCCCTGCACAAGAAGTGGGCCCCTCGCCCAGTGAGATTGAGGAGCTGCATCAAAAGCTAAAGGCGGCAGCCGAGCATGCCGAGGAGCTGGTTTGTGCCAAGAAGCAGTGCGAGGAGTATCTGCAGCACCAGCTGCAGGAGCAACGCGATCTCAACAACATGCTCAAGGATGAACTTGAGGCTTTTCAGTCCATCACGCCGCCGGCTTCCCCAAGCGGCGCCGTTCGGGCGGCTGTTGGGCCCTTGGAATCCACCATCGAGGAGCTTCGTGCCCAACTTGCAGTGCACGAGGACACCATCAAGAACCTCCAGGGTGAGCAAGCCACACGCGAGGCGTCTCATAATCAGGCCATGGAAGAACTTCGTGAAAGCGCTCGTGCTGAGGCTGAAGCCCAGCTGCGTGAGGAGCTGGAAGACATGGCAAAGCAGGTCGGCGCTGCCAATGACGCCAAACAAGCTGCCGAAGACAACGCCTATATGCTGGAGCATCAGTTGAACACCACCCGTAGCAAGCTCGAAGCCGCTACTCAAGAACTCCAGCAGGCACGTGGTGAGGATCAGTCTACGGAGAGCAAGACAGAGACAGACGCCGCCACCAGCGTGCTGCAACAGCGCGTCGACGAACTGGAGGCGGAGCGGGAGGAGTTTCTTGCTACCCTCCAGCCCTTTGGGCTGGGTGCCCCGGCCGACTTGCTGGCATATCTCAACGGCATCAAAACTAGCGTTGAAGCCATGCAAGCTGAGACCCTAGCCCAGTCAACTGCAGCCACGGAAGCAGAGGCTAAGGTGGCCGAGCTGACCAATCAACTGGATGCTCTCAACGCCACTGCTGCCCACGCATTCGAGCTGGAGGGTCAGCTGCAAAAGGCTCAGCAGGAGGCGGCTACCTCTAACCAGGCGCGCGCAGCGGCCGAAGAGGCCTGCGCCACGGCCACCGCCAATGCGGAGCACTTGCAGCGTCAACTGGCAGCCCTACAGGCAGCCCGTGATACTCTCGAGAGCAGCATGTCTGCACTTGCGACGCAGATGGCAGAAAACGGTGCACAAGATGCTGCCTTGGCTGAGCTGCACGCACAAATGGCGCAAGTCCAGCAAGAGCGCGTCCTGGCAGAGCAAGCGCGCGATCAATTTGAACACGATTGTCAAAAGTGGCAAGCCAAGGCCAACGAACTCAAGAAGACTCTGGCGGATCGCGACTGGGAAGCCGATGAAGGAAGCTGGCATACGACTCGCCGCATGGAGGAGTTGCAGGCCGAGGCCGACGACAATGAAGCGCGGTGCGAGGCCCTCCTAGAAGATTTTCAAGTGCTTGAGAGCCAGAACGAGGAGCTCGTGCTTGCAACTCAAGAATTGGAGCTGCGAGTGCACATGCTCGAGTCTCAGTCAACGACGTCCACTGCTGCCTTGCAGGTTGATGTCACCCAATCTGAGACGACCCACGTAGCCACTTCCTCCCTGCAGGCCCTGCTTGCGCACGCCGAGCAGCACATTGCCGAGCTTGAGGCAGAGCGTGATGGTCTGGCACACGCGGTCGAGGAACTGCACGGCGGTGACGAGGATGCCATCGAGGTTGCTTGTGCGTTTGCCGAGGCGGCCTTTGATTACTCTGTGCGTCAGTCGCTGGCTGAGACTCGTGCTCAGCTCGAAGTTGCCGAGACGCGCCTGGCCGTCGTGATGGCTCAAGAGTCCGCCCAGCCAGAGGCTTCTGACGTGCTGACGCCGCGTCGCGAGGCTTTACAAGCCGAATGCACCATGTTGCGTCAGCAAGTGGCTGAGCTTCGCGACGCAAAAGAGCAAGCTTCGCCCCAACAAACCGCTGCCACACCGCCTACCGCCCCCAGCACGGCAGCGCGTGCGCGTAAGGGCCTGCTCTCCAAGCTTACCAAGTCTGTTTCTCGATCTGTATCCAAAGCCGTCAAGCGCAAGCGTCTGGGACGCAAGACCGCCATTGACAGCCCCATGGTGGGTGGCGCCGTTAGCGCGTTTGACATGGAGGCTGCGGCCGTAGCCAACGAGAGCCCAATGCCCATGGAGGAGGATGGGCCCGCCGTGTCCCCAGAGATGGCAGCGGCGCTTCACGACCTGGCAGAGTTGCGTGAAGCTCACACTAGTCTCGAGACAAACTTTGTTGCAGCGTCAGAAATGGCGGAGCGATTGCAGGCACAGCTTACGGCAGCCAAGCTAGAAGCTGCAGAGATTCAAGAAGCTTTTGCCATCGCGCAGCAGCAGCGCGAGGCCATGGCTGCTGAGTTGGAAGCCCTGCAATCTGAGCCAGCATCGGAACCAACTGTTGATGAAGCAACCATGGCTGCACTGAAGTCGGAGCGCGATGCTTTGCAGACTCAACTGGAGGATATGGTAACTCAAGACAGTTATGATGAACAGGTCGAGCGGGTCCTCGAGCTTGACGGCCGCTTAACGCGCAGCCAAGCCTGCGTGACTGAGATGGAGCAGCAGCTTGAAGCCCTTTGCCACGAGCGTGACCTGTTCCAAGCCAAGTGCGTGGTGTTTGAACAAAAGGAAGAAAGCATGCGTCAAGAACTGGAGCACCTACGAGAAGCCCGCCTGAGTGCAGAGCCAGTGGTCGATGAGGATCTGACTGCCAAATTCCAAGCGTTGGAATCCAAGCACACATCCTTGACCGCCGAGCTCGCCTCGGTCACGGCACGTCTGTCGGCCGAAGTGGAGTCCAAGCAGACAGATCTTGATGACCTGCGCGTGCGCGTGGCCGAAATGACCACACAATTGTCTGCGGCACAGCAGGCCCACGACTCGGTGATGCAAGAGCTTACAGAGGCTCGTGCACAATTGACTGCCGCAGCGGACCAGGAGGCTCTGGCCGCGGAGCATGAAGCGCAGGTGGCGGCGCTGCGAGCACAGTTGGCCACCCTGCAAGCCGCCCAAGCTTCAGCTGAAAATGACCTGGCGGCCAGTGCTGCGCAGCGTGATGAGGCCGAGGCGCGTGCCAGCGAGTTGCACGCACAGCTCGCGCAGACGCAACAAGAAAAGGAAACCGTGTGCACCGAGCTGGCCAAGACTCGCGACGAACTGAGTCAGGCAGAGCAGTCGCACAAGCATGAGACAGCCGGTGTTTCTGCAAGTTTAGAGGAGGCCGAGCAAGCCCGTGCCGCGGCCGAGCACGAACTGAGCGTGCAACGCGAGCAGGCAGATCTGGCTCGTGCTGAAGTTGCCAGCTTGCACGAGAAGCTGGCTGAGCTGCAAACGGCAGAACGCGATGCTGCGACATCACGAACCGAACTGGAGGAAGCCTTGCAAAAGCTGGCCACAACACAAAGCAAGCTGAGCGAGGTTGAGCAGGCCTTGGCTGCTGCTGACTCTGCCCAAGCAAGTTTGGAGGCTGAGCACGCCACCCAAGTGCGTGAGCATCAGGAGCAGGTGGAGGAGCTGCAAGACACTGTCGAGGGCCTACGCCTGCACTGCACAGAGTTAGAAGCGCAGATTGCCGCTATTGACTCAACCAACACGGCCAATGAAGAGGTGACGACCCTGACCCTTCAACTGGAGCACGCCCAGCGAGCCCGTGACGAGGCGGTTGCGGAGACGGAAAATCTCAAGGCCCAGTTGGCGGAGGCGGAAGAAAAACTTGTGGCTGTGCAGCAGAAGAGCTTGGACACCCGGGCCGAGTTGCAGCGCGTGGAGCTTAGGTTGACAAAGATGAAGAGCAAGCATGATCGGCTCCACCAAACCATCGTGGCCGGTGACAACTACCTTGAAATGCGCATCGCTTCCCTCACTGAGGAACTGGAGGCTCGCACAGGTGAACTGCAGGCGCTGCGTGAGGGCTTGGAGCGAGAAGGTGCACGTGATGCCGAGATGGACGACTTGCGCGCGCAAATCTCGCGCTTGCAGGAGGAGCGAGAGGACGTGGCTGCCGCCGCAGCCCGTGCCCGTCAGGGTGAGCTCGACGCTCTCACAAGGCAAACGACACAGTATCGCGAGCGCGTTGCTCAGCTGGAAACGCGCGGGTTGGCAGCTACGCAAGAGATTGAGGCTCTCCAAGAGGAATTGACGCAAGCGCGTGCTTGTTTGAGTGGCATTGACTCGACAGAGAATACACTCAAGGCAGCGCTTCTGGATGTGCGCGAGGAGAATCACCGCCTTCGCTCCTTGGTGGATAAGCTGCGAGTTGTTGAGCCTACTTCCAGCGACGCAAGCCAAGCGGGGTCAACAACCGCCGTGGGTGGTCCTGATCATGAGGTTTCCCTCGTCGACCCTAACGCGTCACTGGTTGCCCGGGCCCGAGCAGTACGCTCAGCGGCCAGCGATGCGGGCAGTGGCACTGCCGGTGTCGGAGCACGCGTGGTCCGTGCCATGTCTGCTCTCGAGCCCGATGTCGGCGAGACCACCCTGGAGAACGTGGCGCCAGAAGCAGCGGCCACACCCACCAATGCGGCCCCGTCCTTGGAGCCCAGCGGCAGCGGCAGTGGTAAGCGTGGTGCCGCTTTGAGCTCGAGCGCCACGTCTTCCCCTAGTCGCCCCGCAGCGAAACGACCCCTATCGGAGCGAATTCAGAACACACCGTCCAAGGATTTGTTTGGTCGTAGCAAGCAAAAGGCGGAGATGATTCGCCAGGCCTCTGGCAAAGAGGATACCCAACAAGTGCGCTTCCAATTGCCGTCTGGCGAACAAGTGACAACGGGCGATGAGGTCGTGGCCCCTCGCGACCCAGTGGCAGCCGGTTCTCAATTGGCTCGCAAGAGTCGTCAGGCCGAGGTGCGCTCAGACATTGACCGTGATGAGCACCCGGCTGAATGTGCCCCGCAGTAGATGCATCGTACGTTGTCGGTGTTTCTGCACTAGTTCTTGATTTGATGTGTGATATTTGTGCGAAGTTGGTCGGAGATGAGCGTCTATAGATGTTGTCGTTCCTTTGTTGACTTGAAGAGAGATTGATTGCTTGATTCGTTGATTGATGAGTATGTTTCGTTTGTTTTTGTGTGTGAAAGACGGCTGACAGCTTGCCAGACTATGTTCTTTTAGCATTGTGCTTTTTTTTTTTTGCTTTTTTGCTTTTTTTGATGGCATGTGTACTGCTGTCACGCGTTGGAGTTTTGAATCCGACTTGCAACTCGCCTTTTTATGGGCTTTGACCTTTTTTTTTATTCTCCTGCCCAATTGATGTCAATAATCAGATCGATCGCTTCACCTTTGAAAGGAAGTTTGCACTTGTGATTTACATTTCTTGTCAATTTTTACTCTCTGAATGCATTTGCACGTGACGGCGCACACAAACCCCCGCCGCAGTCGGCAGGTTGCCCACAACCCACAGCTCGGGCTCGGGTTTGGGCGAGCAGGCTTGCCATCAGTGCTGCCTGTAATAATATTATTCATAAATGGCCTTTGCACCAAAGGCGCTCAAAATCTCCCTCAACTCAATGAGAGGTTGGTCTCAGACCTGCGAGTCACGCATTACCAGCAACCCAATGGACTGGGGCACAGAATATGTCTGCTGAGGGGTTCATTGGATTACCCAATGATTGCTCAGTGCCGTTCTGTCCTGCAAATGATCACGTCGAGTTGTTGGTGGCGGTGGTAATTGCTGCTCATACTGTTCTCCTTTTTTTTTTGTTTTTTCTCCAATTTTGTTCTTGTTCTTGTTTGTGCGACGAGCATTGCAAATGGCTGCTCAAACTGATTTGCAATAGTTTTCTGGTTCGATGGCCACGTGCGATGCGTTAAGTGGCCTCAAGGGGCGGGCGAAAGCCAAGGGCATGTGCAAAGCGCCGGCGATATACCCGGCGGGAACGGCGACAGGGGCTTTGGCGCGATTGGTATTCCACGTCCCGACCAATCATGCGAATGATGCGGAGCCAAACCTCGTGCGGCAAGGTCGGAAGGTCCGGGCGGTCAGTCTCGAGGCGAGCCTGCAGCAGCAAGGCATTCATGACGCAGCGGCGATGCCGGGGACCAAACATCCAATGGCGAATTGGTGACCAGGGCAACGTGGCTTGCTCCAGCAACTGGATGATCCGTGGCCTTTCTGGAAGATCGTCTGCCAAGTCAAGCGCCAGATCAAGAGGAACCACGGGGCGGCCAACTAGGGTTGGCGTGCTCGGGTGAATGCCGTGATGTAGCCAGTGAGCCACGTATGTGCGTTGGCCAAGCTGGCAGGCAACATGAAGAGGGGTAAAGTCGAGCGACTTGGCCAGCCAACGGGTGACGGCATCGTGTTCGTGGGCCAAAGCCAGGGCGTCGAGACGCAGTTTGGTGCGGGCTCGCATGTTGGCGCCGCGCATGGCCAAGGCCATGGCTGCGTTGGCAAAGCCACGGCGACAGGCAAGCAGAAAGGGTGTGTAGCCCTCGGTGTCAGCCTCTTCAATGTCAGCGCCGCGATTAAGGAGGTGCATGATGACGCGGGTATGACCGCCGTTGGCGGCAGAGAGCAACGGCGTGAGGCCTGAGTTGTTGCGCTGCTCGAGCGTACTGCCCTGATCGAGCAGCCATTGCACAAGGTCAAGATGTCCGCAATAGCAGGCCAGCAGAAGAGCGCTGTCGCCATCCGTGGTCGCATCGTCCAATGAGCAGCCCTGTTCGTAGAGCCAGGCCACAAGGTCGACGTGGCCACCGCAGGCGGCCAAGATGAGCGGAGTGTAGCCGTGGACGTTGCTGTAGCTGAGGTTGCACCCAAGTTCAAGGAGGCGCTTGACCATGCCAAGGTGACCACCATTGCAGGCGGAAAGCAAAGGATCAAGACCATCGGTATTGCGCTCATTGAGCGAGGCGCCCTGGCCCACGAGCCACTCGAGCATGTCAATGTGGCCTCCAAAGGCAGCGAGAAGCAAGCACGTGTCACCATTCTTGTTGCGCTGGCGGCGATCCACGTGGGCGACATTGAGGAGCCAGTCTACGACCTCGAGGGCCCCCGAATTGGCGGCGGAGAGGAGGGCCGTGTGGCCCGTTTGCGACTCTTCTGCCAGGCTGGAGCCATTCTGAAGCATCCACTGCATCAAGCTCAGATGACCACCCCAGGCAGCAAAGAGCAAGGCGGTATTCTGTGGATTCGAGTTTGTTGTTGTCGCCAATGGGTTTCATTGACAATGGAGGAGAAGGAAAGTTAGCCGCGTGAGAAAGGGCGGCGTAGACAGGTTGTTGAAAAAAAATGGGGGGACCGTGAAACGTACGCCAATTTCATCACGCTGGGCCAAGGAGGCGTCGTGATTATGAATCAAGTACTCCACGACGTGTTGGTGGCCTCCACAGGCGGCTTGGATAACGGCAGAGTGGCCCTTCAAGTTGACATCACGCACGTTGACCCCACGTGCCACATACGTTTTGACCATCTCAAGATGACCACCGTAAATGGCATAGCTATGGGAGAGAAAGAAAGGCCGACATGGGTGGCGAGGTGAGAATTGACTGCGAGTAGATGTCAGGCTGGGATATGAGGCAGAAAAAATGGCCTTACAGCATGGGGGTGTTGCCCACGAGGTCGTGGTTGGTCATGGCGGCACCACGGGCCAAGAGGGCATCTGCAATGTTCAAATGACCGGCCCAGTTGGCATAATGGATGGGACACCCTCCGCGGGCCGTGTCAAGATCACGGATACTCAGTAGAGCTGGGTAGGCGTCCAAGAGGGCGAGAACAATATCAATGTGACCAAGGTAGGTGGCTTGGTGGATGCACAGGCGCATTTTATTGTCGCAAACGCCCAGGATGAGGGGTTGCGGGATGCGATGCAAGAGGTCAAGCGTGTCGCTGAGGCTGTTGGCCTGTATGGCATCAAAGAGGGCCTGCATCAAGATGCGGCTGTCTTGGGCAGTGATGGCGAGTTGGTGCACTTTGCAAAGCTCTTCCAGAACGGAGAGGCTCGAGACGGTGGCCATGACAATGGTTGAGGAGAAGGGGAAGACGTTTTGTCCAACTGCGCTGACAGCCGACGGTGGCCGCTCAGGGGCACACCACGCTTCAAAGGGACGAGAAAATTGAGCGCCTTGGGACTCGGGTCCGCCAAGCCTCGCAAACGAAAAATGCAGGCAGGTGATGGAGGCGTCCCAGCAGCGGGGACTGGTCCAGACGGTTGGACGAAGCTAAAAGGCTGCGGGCCGAGCCCTCTGAACAGTGTCCAGCTCGTGTGGCGAGCGGTTGGACGAACGGTTGAGGAGTTGGGGATCTTTGCCTGGACAACGCGGGTGGCTGCGTTGCAACGGACCCAGGGTGGGGACACGTTGACGACCTGGCGAAAACGAGGGACGGAAACTGGCCAATCGAATCGAGCGCGGTGGGTGGGTGGGTGTAGGCAAACAAATGTGCAAGTGTGGACCATGCACGAGTCGGCTGGGCTGGCTGTCCGAGGAGCAGGATGCACAGCGAGCCGAGCAAGGTGAAAGGAACGGGCGGGCGTAGCACCATCTAGTTAAAGTTCAAAAAAAAACCCCCCAAGCGGGAGGAGGAGGAGGAGGAGGAGGGGCAACGGGGAGCGCGAGCGGTTTCATCATGAGGATGAGTGAACAGCACAACACCAAGTTGAAAGGGGATTGATACGGGCGTTGGTCGGGGTTGGGATTCCCGCCCATCACCACCCAAACCAGATCAAGTACATGCACAACAACGGGGAAGGGGGGAGAAGATCCGCTTCGAGTGGCGGTGTCACGACCGAGTCACGGGTCGACCGAGCCAATCACCCAGCAACAGTGAAGAGACGGCAACCTTACCAGCTGAAAGGATGATCCTTCAAAGTGACCACGGGATCCATCCAAACGCGCACACAATGGGCCTTGTTCTTCTTCCTCTTCTTCCTCAACGCCCTGTCCAGCTCTGCCCCAGTGGCCAGTGAACCAAGACCAAGAAGGAGGGAGGGAGGGAGGGAGGGAAGGGGTATTGACGCTGCCAAATCGTCCTTATAAAATGACTTCATCTCTCGCTCTGTCGCTCTCTCTCTCTCTGATTCTCTCTTCTGATTCTCTCTCTCTCTGTTTTTCTCTCTCTGATTCTCTCTGATTCTCCCTCTTTCTCTGTCTCTCTCTGTTTCTCTCTCTCTCTCTTCCCTCTCTCTCTCTCTCTCTCTCTCTCTCTCTCTCTCTCTCTCTCTCTCTCTCTCTTTTTCACACACATGTAGACCGCGTCATCAGGCTCTTCTTGTGTGTTGCATGGTCAAGCCATGAGTGATGATGAGCATTTGCATGGATGTGCGTGCATGCGAGCATCTTGGGGGGGGAGTGACGGAACCGCGTCCAGCGGGTCGTTCCCAACCTTGCCTTACTACATACAGTCAGACCAACGTATCTACGACTCGCCCCGCTTGAACGCGCTGCCATATCTACGACCCCCTAACTGGTCCTTCCTGACTGACCATGACGCGCTCCCTCTCGAGCACTGAATGTCAGCAAAAGTGTGGGTTGCCCTCACTGGGTTCGTGCTCACGAGCTCAGGCTCTCGAAAGTCATGCTCTCGGCAAATTGGAGACGACCGAGGCGAGGTAGGAGAACACAACGTGAATTGGCTGGCAAAGTGTGCAAAAAAAAAGCCGGAAACCGTCCACCATTCAACCGCGTTAGTGGGTCCGCGGCCGCGAGGGGCATGGCCTTCTCCCTTTGGGTATCAGCCATCTTAGTTGCGCTTCTTGCGGTTGGTGCGCTTCTTGTTGCCATTGCCGTTGCGCGAGGCCACGTACACGGCGCCTCCAACCATCAGCACCACCAGGCCCACGGAGACCAGGTCACCCATCGACTCGTACAATACCCTATCCCAAGGTCGTGCCGCCATCGGGTGCAAAGAGAAGATTATCCGAACAAGACACACGATGAGTCTGGATGCACATTGACGTTTGCAACAACAACAACAACAACAAATTCAGCTTTAAGCCAAACACTGTGCGTACTTGGTCGTGTGCTTGAGTGTACCGGGACGGTCAATCTATGCAAGGCAAAGGCAATCGATGGCAGCAAACCAAAATTCTATTCGTTGAGCGAAGCGGGGTCCGGGCACAACCGCAGAACCAACCCGGAAAAGGTCTCGATCTCCCACGACCACTATGCTTCCAAAAACCCCAGCCACCCTAACCCAACCCCAGCCATGTCCTTGATTGACGCAATCGGATCAGGCATCTGGTTTGACGTACGCCAACAACTTCAATCTCGTAGATGACGGTGGCCTTGCTAGGCACGGGCTTGTGGCGGAACTGCTTGCGGCCGTCATCAAAGGCCATGTGTGGAGGAATGGTCAAGCGCACCTTCTCGCCCAAGCATGTGTCCAAGAGGCCAACTTCCATGCCTGCCACAAACGATCGGTCAACCAAGGTCGTCAACACTGGCCACACACACGCCAACGCACGCGCCTACACACACACACGTTTGCGACAAAAAAAAAAAAAATCACTCGCACGAAAACGTGCCTTCAATAATCTCGCCATTGCCAATTTTGAAACGCAAAGGCTCGGCATTGCCATTCTCATCACGGGGCACGCCATCAATCTGCTGGCCATTGTAGTAGCCAACGTGCACGACAGCCACCTCATCACCCTTTTGCACCTGATCAAGAAGCAGAGATCATGCCCCACGCACCCCGGGCAAGAGAAGGAGGAGGTCAGGAAAGCGTACACGCATGTTACTCGCTTTTACAAGAATCCGTCAGCATCAAACAAGCCCTCAATGTCGCGACGTGTGAAAGCGTACCCGCGTCTCGCAAGACTCGACCACCTCGACCACCTCGCGAATCAGCTCCTGCTTCTCAGCACGCACACCTCCCAGCACTGCCAGCGCCCCCAGCGCGACAAGGCAAGCACGCCACATCATCATCATTCTTCACGGATGACTAACCTATCGGCACAGCGCACGCATCACACCGTTCCAGAAGCAAAACGTAAATCTCGAATTCAAGTTCAGTGGCACAGCCGGGGTGCCTCCCCTCTCGTGCAACCCAGAAAAATAAAACGAATGGTATCAACAAGTTGAACCATCACCCCCAAGGTACACCAGTGCCCATCGCCTTGGCGACCACCTCTATTTCAACCTTGGCCCACTGCCACAACCAGTACCACTGCCACTGGCCCGTGGAGCACGTACCTCAACGGCCAAAACAGCACCAAAAACTTCAACAGGCTTTGAAAAATGATCACGACAGTAATTTCCCCATTCTCTTCATAAAGTATGCTTGACACTCCTAACAATTCTCCTATAAGTCTAAAATCATCTACATCTTTATCTTGTACCTCGGTTTGATATGGGTTTTTACGATAAATCTTGTCTTGATGATGTATTGTTAATGTTTGCAACGTGAGTTGATGCGGTATTTCAGAGGGTTATTGTTGAAGGAGATGTCCAGCTTTGAAGCATCGTCGCGCGGGGGGCTTGTGGTGTGGGCCGTGATGGCGGGTGCTGCTGGGGTGGGGCTAGCCATGGCTGCTAGATGGGGTTGCTGGAGGTCTGGCATGGCGGCAGCGCGACGGGGCCATGCCTCAGCACCGGCGCTGACCTCTGAAGCTTCGGAACACCTGGCTGTCTTTGTGACCACCCCGACCGCTGAGCTGGCCCAGCGCATCGCCGGCGCCCTCGTCGAAGAGCGGCTCGCTGCCTGTGTCAACACCATGCCAGGTAGGTCTTGATTGGTGCAGTAGCTGCCATCTGGTTTGCTGCAAAGGCGCCCTTTCCCGAGGGTGCCGAAGCAGCTTTCGCATTGCATGCACTTGACTCATTCTTTCTTTTCTTTATTGTCCTGAAACCGCGCTGGTCTTGTGCATGGTGGCATCAGGCGTGCAGTCCACCTATCTGTGGAAGGGGCAGGTGGAAACGGATCAGGAACACTTGATGATGATCAAGACCACGCCGGCTGCCTTTGAGCGCCTGCGGGCGCGGGTTCTGGATCTACACGACTATGACGTTCCTGAGGTAAGCACGGCTGAGCCCTTGCCAAACCTTTTTTTACTATTACAATACATGTACGCTCTCTTGGCCAAGTACGCCTTTGGCCAGTTGCTGATGCCATGGCTGTCTGCCCCACCCCATGACCGTGGGTCGTCTAGGTGATTGCCCTGCCCATTGTAGCAGGCAGCGATGCCTACCTCGCCTGGCTACGTGCCTCTGTGCAATAGAACCGCCTTCCCCCCCCCCCCCGCTCTGCCGATCCCCTGGCCGTAACGGATGTTTGCAAGGGGCTGAGCCCTGTGCCTGTTGAAGGCCCATGATCCTGCATCTTGCTCCAAGCAATCGATGCATGACCCCTCCCGTCGCAGTCCCGTCGCAGCCACCACCAACTCTCCACTGCTGCTTCAAAAACATGGACCTTTACTACAATTACCTCCCCACAGATCTATAATGTTTTAGCTTTTTATCCTAATTTCTCTTCGATAACCTTAAATTCTACCACGCTATGTACACTTCGACAAAGGGGGAGGTGCTTTCTGCTTGTTTGCTTTGTGTGTGTGTGTGTGTGTGTGTGTGTGTGTGTGTGTGTGTGTGTGTGTGTGTGTGTGTGTGTGTGTGTGTGTGTGTGTGTGTGTGTGTGTGTGTGTGTGTGTGTGTGTGTGTGTGTGTGTGTGTGT